GATCAAACCCATGAATCTACTCAAAGAAAATATAGGGCACATACTTCAGGACATTGGTCTGGGAACAGATATTTTCAATATGACCCCAATAGCAGAGGATGCAGATGCAAAAAATTGACAAATGGAATTACACCAAAATAAAAGATTCCTGTACATCAAAAGAAACAATCACAGAATGAGGAGCAGTGCAGAATGTATTTAAAAAGTTTTGCCCTGATAAAGAATTAGTTTCCAGAACATATAAAGAATTCAAACATCTCAAAAGAAATAATAGTAACACTAATAACAATAAGAAGCCAATGGACTACAAAGATATTTCTGAAAATAGGCTACACATATGACCAACAAACATGAAATGTTTAGCATCAGTTAACATTAAAAAAAGTGCAAATCAAAAGCACATTGAAACTGGGCATGGTGGTGCACACCTGTAATCCCAGCAACTATGGAGGCTGAGGAGGCAGGAGGATTGAGAGTTCAAGCCAGCCTCAGCAAAAGCAAAACCCTAAGCAACTCAGTGAGACCTTGTGTCTAAATAAAATACAAAATAGAGCTAGGGATATGGCTCAGTGGTCAAGTGCCTCTGAGCTCAATCCCCAGTACCCCCACCCCCTGCAAAACAAACAAAAAAACACATTGAGGTAGATATGAACTTACCCCAGTCACAATATTACAGAAAAGACAAAACATAACAAATGATGATCTAGATATGAAGAAAAGGGAATTCTTATATACCGTTAGTACAAATGTAAATTAGTACGATCATTATGGAAAATCATATGGGATTTCATCAAATCACTAGAAATAGAAATACCATATGATCCAGCAATCCCATATTGAGTATATACCCAAAGGAAGTGAAGTATGAAGGGACATCTACAGTTGCATATTTATTGCAGCACAAAAAAAGCCAAAGATGAAATCTGCAAGGAGCAACCATGAATTATTGAGGGTCTTCGCTCAGTATAGAGCCATGGAGACTTAGGTTTTTCCCTTAGGAACTATCCCTGTTCTCCCATGTGCATTAGATTGCCCAAGGCACATAGCACCTATCTCCACTCTTGTTGCTCTGGAGTTGGGTGCAATTCATTGCCTTGGAAAACCTTTGATGTTACCCGATATAAATAAAGCAAGGGTGGACTCCATCTTGCCTCTTTTTATGTGGAAGCTCCATCCCTAAGATCAGCTAGCTCCACCCCTACTTTTTAAAATTACTTTTTGTCCCCTATGGTTTTTCTGCTGCTTTCTCTTAGCTTTTATTCCTCAGCCAGCCCAGTATACTAAGAGGAACTCCATTTCCAACAGCCTCGCAGGACGTGGGCGGGACATATCAACCTATGTGTCCATCAATGTTATATATATATAACATTTACAGCAATATGAAAGCTATATGGATATCACTACTATACAATAGTGGACATAAATTTAAATTTATATTACAAACAGTTGCTCTAAAGGGAATATTCAGAGCATCATGTTAGCTGCTATTAGGTACATTTAAACTCTAAAAATTTAATTCATCTTAGTATAACTTCTTTTTCTCCTACTTTTTTTGCAGAAACTTGCAAATAAGATGAAAAAATGAGAATTATAAACTTAATAATACAATATTTTCTGCTTTCAGAAAATATTCTATTATTGATTTCATTTAGTATTTTTGAAGCATCAATGTTGAAGTCTAAGAGACTAAAGACTGTAACACAGTAATTTTCTTTATCATTTTCTCCCCCCACAGTGTTGTGGATTGAACCCAGGGGTTCCCTACCACTGCTATATCCCCAGCCCTTTCTTTAAATTTTATTTTGAGAAGAGTCTTGCTAAATTGCCAGGGCTGAGCTTGAACTTGTGATCCTCCTGCATTAGCCTCCAAAATATTTGGCATTACAGGTATGTGTCCGCCACTGTGTCTCCCTACTTCTTTATGTGCCAAGACTCTAACACTCTAAATAGTGCTAAACTGAAAGAAAGGAAAGATAATTTTAAAGATACAGAATGAATTGTTGGCTACATATAAATTTCGATTGCCATATTATCACAAATTTATGAACTGGTGTTATAGTTTAGTGGTAGAGTACTTGACTAGCATATATGAGGGTCCGGGTTCAGTCCCTAGTATCAGGAAAAACAAAAACAGCAACAACAACAACAAAACCCTCAATATTACAATTTACTTGTTTTAAACAATATAAATGTATTATCTTAAAAGTTTTATAGATCAGATATTTGCAACTGGTCTCAAATGGCTAAAATAAAGATGTTGGACTAGACTACATTTATTTCTGTAGGGTTTAGGGAAAAATCTAATTATGGGTCACTGAAGTTATAGAAGCCACCACATTCTTTTGCTCATGAACTCCTTTTGCCATCTTCAATGACAGCAACAGTGGGTTGAGTCGTTTGCACATCACATACCTTGGACATTTCCTTTTCCCTCTTCCTTGTAAGGACCCATAATTAATATAATATAAATAATCTGAGATAATCTCAGTCAATGGATTATAGAAATCTTTGCAACAGTAATTCTAATTTTTCTTTTGCCACATAAAATAGCATATCTACAGACTCTAGGGATTAGAATGTTTTTCTACTAAGAGCTCTTATTTTGACTCCTGAATATTTCTAAAATTGTTTAAAAAATAAAGCTATCCATTGGGTACTTCTATAATTTTTTGGTATCAGTATAACAGACAATATGATGCATTATGCTTTAACTAAAAGATTTGATACAGTAAAAGAATCCAACAAAAAGTAAAATATTTGCATCAGTAGTAAAACTACCAATATTTAAAATAACAATAATTATACTATTGTCGATGTTTAGAAATAATTCGTATCATATATAATTTGGTAGTAAAATAATGAGGAATAAAAAGTTTTATAAACATAAAGACATAAAGCCAAACATGAAATAAAAATATTTTTTCTAACCACAATCATACTACGATACTTATATATTAGCTATAAACTAAGTAATATTCATATTTATTTATCTTATAAAATATAGACATGTTTTATAGTATAAATGTATAAAATATAACAGCTACATTTATAATTGAGGGGAAAAAATCATTGTATACAGTTCAATCTGTATAAAAGAATTAACACTTTGAACAATAACCATTTTCTCTGCCAAACTCAGCTTTTTAAACAACAGTGTAGTCTTAAAATTACAAAGAAGACTTGGATCTGCTACTGGTTTGTTTGTTTGTTTGTTTGTTTTTGGTAATAAGGGAAAAGTCTTTTGAGAAAGTTTTTCCCTCTAATATAAATCTGGAAATAAAGACAGATACATATACCACACAGAAGCTAATATAGTCTAAATAGGCTTTACCATATCTGTTTATGGCATAATATGAACAGAATATAGAAATTAGAGTTGTAAGTTTATTCTAAAAAATAAGATATCATAAGTAACTGAAAAAAGTCACTCCATAGGAAAAAATAATCATCATCTTACATGTTTAGTGTAGACTCACAGAATTCTACATTGTTTTGCTCATGAAAGAAACTTGCATTTTTCTATATACTTATCAACTCATTAGTGAGTTCATGCCTTCATGTAGAGAACAACCATTTTTTTTCTTGTGTTCCTTCTACTAAGAGCACTAATGAGATAGAACTGAAACTGAAAAGTTTACAAAGGTTATAAAATAAAACTGAAGAATTTTCAGACACCAAATTATTTTTTAAATAAAACTGACTATTTAGAAAATAGAACTATCTAAATAAATAAGTATAACTGTAATACAAGGAGGAAAGGGAAGTGAAAGCTGATGGAGATTTCTAAGAACAGTAAGATCAACCAATGACTTAACATCAGTTAAGTTCAAGGTGCATATTTTGAACATTAGAGCATACAAAATAAATAAAATGAATAAATATATTGTACTAGGCCAGAGAATATACAATATACTTAAAAATGTAAGAGAAGAAAAAGAAAGGAACAAAGATGATTAGAACAAATGAAAAATAACAAAATAGAATATTTAAAAGCCATTTCATTGTACGATATATAAACAAAATAAACACAAAAAATTTTAAAAAGACTATGAAAGTAGTTTAAATAAATAGAAACACAAAGTCAAATAATATGCTACATGTGAAACAACACATATGTCTTTTAACAGGTGAGTATAGAAGAAAAATTTCTATAATTATATAATTAAATATTATACAGCAATAAAAAGACTAAACTGTAGATATATGCTATGTTAACATAGGTGCATTTGAAAATATTGTGGTAAGTGAAATAAGACACACAAATGATGGATGGTTCTATTTTCACGAAGTAATAGAACATTCAGAACTACTTGACAGTGATACAAATCAGATGCACAGGGTCCGGGGATCATGGTGGGTAAATAAGGCAATCACGATGAAACTTTCCGGACTACAGAAGTACCTTACCACTTGACTGATATTTATACAGGTGCATGCATACCTTTAAGAAACATAATTAATCATTGTATTTTATGTAAAGCACAAATAATACAATTGAGAAAGAGAACTAAATTATTTTACATATTATGTATTAATTTATAACTAAATTTAATATATAATATATATTAAATTATTATTTAATATTTTATTTTTACTAAGAAATCAATAAAAACAATATATACAGAAATACCCCAAAATTTAGAAATTAAACAACATACATTAAAGGCAGTGTTAAAAGGTGGTTACTGTTCTGGGGTCGTGCTAGTGTTAGAGGGCTTGCTTCGCATTTTGGGGGCACTGGGTTTGATCCTCAGCACCACATAAATAAATAAAATAATTATAAAATAAAGGTACTATGTTCATCTATAACTAAAAATTTTTAAAAAATTTTAAAAGTAAAAAGGTGGCTACCTGGATTTTTAATAATACATATATAGTTTAATTTGTAGGTATGAGTTTAACAATATAATTAATAACGCTGGGGAGACCAACTCAGTAATTTAATCTTCCACCAAAATTTGCTTATATACATAAACACATAAGTAAAATAAATTAATTACCAATGGAAGCTGAACGCATCTGTCTCATGTGAGTTTCTATGACAGTAGGATCCCGAGAGCTGTAACTTCCCAACTCAGGATAAAAGCTGGAGCCAATGTCATCTGGAGGACTGTGTCTCCCCTGTGGATAATTCTTGGCTATTCTAGGGTCCCAATGCTCCAAGACTAGATGATTCCAATGTATATATTTACCATCAAATTGTGGGTTTCCATACCAACTGTAATAAAATACATGCAAAAAATAATTCAGAGGTGGCAGTTCTTCCAGGTTAAGTTCAGAAGTTTTGGAAGGTTTCATAGTGATTTCAACACTTTTTAAATTCTTGGTATTTGTTTCACTGTTGATTCTGTCACTCTTTTGAAAATCAGTTTTTTTCCCCAAATGAATAGTTTGTTGATGAAGTTCTGGAAGAAGGTCAAGTCCAAAAGGAGCTCCAAAAGTAGCTGAATTTGGTCTCAGCAATTTTAAACCCATCATCAGAGAGAAAATAAATAGAATAAAAAGTGACAAAATGATGCAAGTCCTTCTCCGAAATTTTGCCATGATGACATACTTTAAAGTCCAAGATAACAAATGCTTTGCTGTAATTTATTGAAAAAAGAAAATTAGTAAGAGGTATCAATAATATTTTCTAATGTATTCAAAATGAAAACTAAATCCATAGTGATTAGAATAAAATTAAGAAAATGCAATATTATGTTATCAAGTATTAGTAAATAATCAATATATACATAAACTAAGTGGCAGTACTGATCTGGAAATATCACCATTAGCATGCAAATTATATTCTGTTAAATAAACCTTTCAGGAATTTCATTTAAGAAAATAAATTTTTCATCATTTTAACAGATTTTATGAATATTGAGTAAAGAAAGGGACTTTTCTGTGTATTGGAACTAAGGTTTTCTAATTTTAAACATAGAATTTAAAAAACATAATAAAAGGAAATATGTATGCTGTACATTAAAGTTGAACCATAAACTGGATTTAAAATAAATCATTTTTAACTGAAATTACAATATTACAAGGAGGAAATAATTATACACTTAAAATGATGTTTGGAAATGAAATAGACTCAAACATTTTTTTTTAAATGACAGTAAAGAAAAAATCAAAAGTTGATATAAGAAATTTGAGCATTCATGAATTTTGGTAACCAAGGGAAAACACAGAACTAATTCCATGTAGATATTGAGAGACAACTTTATTCACATGTAATATAATATATAAGTATATACAAATGTAAAAATTATCATTGGGTAATATGCAAGATATGTGGAAATGGTTGAATGTGCATTTTTTTCTATAAGACTATAGTAATTCAAAAATAAAAAGATGAAGAGCATACCACCAGCAAATGAGAGGGCTCAAGCTATTAACATAGTATCTGTTCATTTCTGAGAAGGGACAATTCCTACAGTCCTTCAAGTTCTGCACTCCATAACTCCAGGAACTGAAAACTCCATGTGTGGAACATGGGGAGCCTGTTCACTGACTAGGAACAATGGAACAAGATAATCATTTTGGTCTGCCTCTGAAACTTGTCCTGACATTTCCAAGTTATTGAGATAACAATAAAACCTTTTTGTGCTTAAAAAGTGAGCATTCTGACAAGACATGAGTCAGAAAAACATTTTTGTTGAAAGATTTCAACTATATTAACCATATACATAGAGGCAGGGAATATACTTAAAACGTGATAGTTACCTCTAGGTGAGAAAACAGCAATATTTTCATATGTTGACTACAATTATAATAGTTTTATTATATAAAGAATTATGTGATAGACATCATTATCCAAAGTACATGTATGAAGACACAAATTGGTGCCAACATACTTTATATACAATCAGAGATATGAAAAATTGTGCTGTATACGTATAATAAGAATTGTAATGCATTCCGCTGTCATTTATTTTTTTAAAATCAATTTAAAAAAAGAAAATAGAAACAGGAAAAAAGAAAAAAAATAATTGATGGCAGTGAATATTGAGAAGGCACAGAGAATGAAAGAAATAACCAAATTACTATTGAAATTTATTTTTGGAATGTTGACTTCAGCTGAATGGAAAGTCACAAATAATACTGAAACTTTTTTTACATTTTTCAGGTTCATCTCCTAGATTCACCCATGAAACAGAGTATAAAATTTGAACTATGGAGGCTGTCTTCTTTTTTCTTTCTCTTGACTATAAATATAATTTCTGAAGCTGGTCCCTTTCTCTTTATGCATAACTTAATTCATTCACTTAAAATGTTTAAAATCCATATCATTACAGATAATGTACCAGATCAATCTTTAGAGATGACCTACTGGCTGTAACCCAACCTCCATATTTCAATTGAGAATAAGTCATCTCAACCTAAATAAAAGCACCAGATATTGTGATTAAAGTTTCAGCTCTGCAGTTGCAATGTATGACTTCAAATTCCAATTGTGCAATCTATTTGGTTTGATCTATACAAATAACCTGATCTTTCTGTACCTCTCGTCTCCACTATGAGTTATCTCAACCATAAGATTTTTGTGAGGATCAGCAATAAATGGTTTAACAACCTTCCTAGAATAATGTCTGACTTAAAAAACAGCAATATGAGTATTTCCAAAGATACAATGCAGCCTTTTTGATAATTCTGAATTCCAGAGTGAAATAGTCTATTGTTTTAGCATTATCCACTTCTCAAATTGGCAATTCTTAGATTATGTATTACAACATGTTATTTACATACAAGTCATATCCACAAGAAATGGAGTCTTTACCTTTACACTCCAGTAGAGACCAACATATCTTATACAGTCAGTAATCATTAGTTTTTCAGCTTATTTAATTTCTGGACCTCTTGCTTTTGACATTGGTATGTATGTGTTCAGATTCTACTGATTACATATACATTTCATATGTTTATAGTCTATATTGAACATACTATACAAGAAGAATTATAAAGATTCAATAATCGTATAAACCCATTTTCAAAAAAATTTTCACCTTCAAAATTGTAACACTACAGTGACCCTTGAGATACCTAAAATATCTTGCAGGAAAGGAGAACTACTTACTCAATTTCAACCAAAAAAATAAGTTTCAGACGTTATTTGAGAATAAAAAAAAAAACAAGTTAATTGCAGATGCACAGGTTCTCAAAGCAGGTATTGGCTACTGATAATGTGTTCTCATGAAAGGACAATTTACATTATTCTAAAGTTATACATAATGTTTTTGTTATGCTTTCAGTCTCTTAAAATGTTAGTTTACTTGGAGGTCCCACATTCACACAGCTAAGAAATCAGATCTTGAAGCACTATACTATCATCATTTTAAAAATATTTGCTAATAATCACATAACTCAGAAAGGCCAAAGTCTCTTTTAGTTATTGTTATCAATTAATTTATACAAACTCTTCATGCTTTCTCTTGGTGGAGGGATGTTTTTTCCTGCTATTATTTGCTTCTAATGTTATTCTGTAGGAAATCCTTGGAGATAAATACAACTAATAAGACACATCTGGAACTCTCAGAATCAGTTTCTGTACTAAGGCTTCCTTGCTCAGATCAGTTCTACTGTAAACATTCATACCTTTTGGTCAACAGAAATTCAGTTATGCATAATCTCATCCTTCCAATCTGTGAATTAGAACTTCATTTTAACACTACTAACTTTTTCAAAGTCTATGGTCTAGGATAGTCTATGGCTAAGCAATCTGCTTCAGAGTAAGCAATTTACCAGATCAAGAAGAGCAAGTTCTGACCTAGTAGTTAAGCTCTTGCTCCCATACTATTTTGCCTTTCTACAAGGTATTACAGATATCAAGTTTAGAGAATATATCACTTTTTAAGACATGGATGAAAAACATAGTCATGTGTTCAATTAAAATTACGGTTTTAAGAAACAATGACTGTTACCTGCTTCATGAACTGTAGCACACAATATGAAGACAGTGTATTTTTATTTATTCTGAGCATACACTATTTACTCACATGAATAAGAGAGGCAGCTTTGCAAATGTGTTAAGCATAGAGTCTGAAAATCCACAAAATTTACAGCAACGCCAGTTTTTTTGTCAGATTTACATACACCACAATGAGAGTGGAGTAACCAACTTGACTGTCATGAAAGTGATTTGCAAACAACTTGCAATACCTTGATTTTGTTTCGTATTTTTCTTTCAGCCTATTGCCTACACCCTTCAATGTAAACAACCCCTCATCCCATTCTCATCTAATAAATAGTCTTTCCCTTGCACTTGTTTTTTTTTTTTTTTTTTTTTTTTTGCGCCTTTCCAGGTTCCCTTAACGGTTATCTGTAGGGTTTCGTAACAATAAAACGAAACAAACTGATAGAAGTGCCTATATTTCAAGTTCTCTTCACTGAATAGAAAAACAAAGGTATTCATGCTCCACAGTTGGTCTCTGAGTCTTAGCAAAGGATAAAGTCTACAATGGCAGCGCCAAACACTTTAATAGACCTGGGGGGGCGGGGGAATCTGCACGGTGGCCTCCCCATCCTGCTTGCCTCTCCCGATGCCCAAGGGCACCAGGAGACAGTAGGGCGACCTTCCTGCTGAACCCCAGGACTTTAGGACTTGAGGCTTGTCCTCTCAGTCGCTTCAAGGCCAAGATGCGGTATGAGAGTTATAATGGCAAGGGACTGAGAAAAGTTCCACCTAAACCGAAATTTCCAACTTTCTGGGAAGAGAAGAGAAAACCAAGGCGACAGAAGGATTCCCCTGCGAAAAGACTGGAGAGGAAGCAGGTGGGGTCCAGATCAAACAGGATTCAAAGCAATGAAAGTAACTAACCTAAACAAGAATCTGGGGGTGAGAGTGACAGGACGGACCTTAGGTGGCCTAGGGCCCAGGCTCAACACTCAGAGCCTCCCGCTGCCGGCCAAGGGACGCGGGGTCAAAGGGCTTTGGCAGGAAAGCCGCGAGCAGATTGGCTGCCGTGTGTGCGCGCGCAGGCGCCCACAGTGGACCCCGAGCCCGCCGCAGCCGCGTCACTGGGTCCGGAACTCTTGCAGCTACTCACCAAGGTCTAGGTTCGCCCACCAGTGGGGACTTAGCCGAAAAACCGGTAGTCCACAAGACTGAGAAAGCTGACAGCTTCCTCGCCCTAGCGCAGCCTGTACCTCTGCCCAAAAGGCTGGCGCAGGGAGTTCCGGGAGCCCTGCGGGCTGGGCCGGCGGGGCGGGGCGCACAAGGGTGGGCGGGGTTCAGTTCTCCCAGTGAGAGTCTGGAGTCCGTCGGCGGGAGGGGCCTAGATAAAAAGAGGCTCCTGTGTTTTAAAGGGCTACCCCTGCAAGTAAAGGAAAGGGTTGAAGTTGAGTGAGGCTGAGATCCCAGCTAGTTTCAGAAAGTAGAGATGGCAATAGAAGTTGTCTTCTATGGCTCAGCTCGGAGAGCTGCTTTGACTTTTTGTTGTTGTCGTTTTAGTTTGGATTTTTGTTTTCCAATATGAGGCATTCAGAGGTTGCTTTTAACTCGAGTATACTGCTTGTTTTCAAAGTTTTAACTTGAGAAACGGTTTTACCTTTTTTTTTTTAATTGCTCTTTACTTGAAAGCCAAAGTAGACAGATAAAAATGACATTTTTTAATTTGCAAATCAATTATCTAAAATCACATTTGTAGTGAAATCAGTTGAAAATAAGGCAATATAAAGAACAGAAATTTTTGAAATAAATGTTACAGCAGAGGGTTTCCATCTTGCATCAGCCTCAAAAGCCAAGAGAATTCAATGTTTTGTTTTGGTTACATAGTAACCAGGTAATTTTAACTCACAGATTGTAACTATGATATGAAAACTTTTCTAAGGGATCTCCTTAAAACTCACTGGCTTTTTAAAAAACAACTATAATTGTGAAGCATACATAAATGAGTGTATCATATAATTGCACATTTTAAAGAAGAATTTTTTTTTTACATAACCCACTACAGAGCTTAAGAAATTAAAAAATACCTGTAGTTTTGAAGCCTTCTAAGTAGTCTTCTCAGAAAACATACTTAGGCTTCACATCACCATTATGCTGAATTTTGTACTTGTCATTCCATTTCTTTAATAAAGTAGTTATATACATGTAATTCCATAAAAAATAATTTTCCTGGTTTTGCATTTTATGTTACTGAAACACTCCATCCTTCCCACTTGTAACCTTTTTTGTCTCACTGCACATTCAGATTTTGAAATTCATCAATATACAAATATGTTTCACATCAGCTACTTTGGTGCATCCTTATCCATAGCATCTGCTATTGTTAACCTTAATTTTTCACCTGAAAATAGCATCTAATTGCATTTCTTTTAATTTGCATTTTCTCCCTTCCTATTGAAGGTATTGATCTTTTTGTATTCTACAGGTAATAAATTTTCTGGGAAGATACAAAAACAGATCTACACAGACACTGCCATCTGATAACTTGATAAAAGTACCAAAAACACACTAGAGAAAAGATAGCATTTTTAACAAATGGTGTTAGAAAACTGGAGATACACACACACACACACACACATACATATATGAATGAAACTAGACCCCTCTCTCTCACCCTGAACAAAATGAAACTCAGAGTGGATTAAGGACCTAGGGATTAGACCAGAATTCCTGCAAGTACTAAAAGAAAACATAGGGTCAGCACTCTAACTTATTGGCATAGGCACTGACTTTCTTAATAAGATTCTTTAAGCTCAAGGAATATAACCCAAGAATCAATAAGTGGGATGGAATTAATTAAAAAGCTTCTGCAGAGCAAAGGAAGTGAAAGCATGAAGTAAGAGCCTATGAAATGGGAGAAAATATTATCCAGCTACCCTTTCAACAAGGGATATTGCCTATAATAAACTAAAAGAAAAATCCAATCAATAAATGAGAAAGTGATCTAAGCAGACATTTTTCAAAAAAGAAATACAAATTTCCAACAAATACGTGAAACATTTGTTCAACATCCTTAGCAGATCAAAATTGCACAGAGATTTCATTCATATCCAGTTACAATCAAGTAGAGGAAAGGGATCAAAAGGGAAGGAGGAGGAGGGGGTATGGGGAAAAACTGGGAAGAAAATCAACAAAATTATACTGTGTCCATGTATACAAATACATCATAATGAATTCCACCTTCATATATAATTGCAAAACAATAATTAAAAATAATACTAATAGAAGGGAGATCAGTAGAGTAGCCAATATTAGAGGAGAAAAGAAGAGAGGGAAATCAGAGATAGTGGGGGAATGTGATTGAGCAAATTGTCTGCTTGTATAAATGTGGTATAATGAATCCCACTGTTATGTATAATTTTAATGCACTAATGAAAATATGTTAAACAATTTTACTTTAGCTAGGCTTCAATCTTCTCTTCTCATATAAATTTTATTATGGCCAGCCAGGATGTATTAAAAGTCTGTGTTTGTGTGTGTATGTGTGTGTGTGTGTGTGTGCATGTGGACATGCACATGTACACATGCACACACACTAATGCATGCTTGCATGGTAGGGGGCATTGAACCTAGGGCAGGTCTACCATTGAGGCACAAGGTCTCATTAAGATATAGAGGCTGGCCTCAAACTTGAGATCCTCCTGCTTTAGCTCCATGTATGCTTGAAGTACAGGCAAATTGAAAATCACTTTCCTGTAACTGCAGCAGGACACCTATTTGGGTTTCTATTTGACTTTTTTGATTAATTCAAAATTTGAATTTATAAATTAATTTAGAAAAATATCTTCTTATTCATGAATATTTATATTTGTTGATTTATATTCAGGTCTTTTATGTTCTATAACTCTTTGTAATCCCTTTTATTAAAATTTGAATATTTATCATTATATAGTGACCTTTTTATTGCTAAAATTGAAGAGCGTTCTTTAAATTGCATTTTCTAGAGAGCATAGGTAGAGTACGTTCCTAGCATGTGCAGGGCCCTGGATTCAATCCCCAGAACCACAAAAAAATTACATTTTCTAATTGGCTATGATATTCTATTAAAAGAGCACCAAGTTTTACACATTGGTCTCATATCAAAAAGCTGTGATGAATTTTTTTGCTTTATTTTTATTACATCTCTAGAGTCTATATAGACATTTCTATCATTTGTAAATGAGAATTTTTCCTACTTCTTCACGTTTAAAATCACTTATTCATTTTCTCCTGTTCATTAACGTTACCTCAGTATAGTGTTTAATGGAAATATTGATAGTATTGTTATTTTTACTTGATTTCATTACTGTTTAAATTTTGTCATGAAATACAATGATATCTGTGGGTTTTGCTAGCTACCTTATCAAGATTATTAATTATTTTATTTCTGGTTTCTAAGTGCTTTATTTACTTAATTTTTTTAACCACAAGTGACTGTTTACTTGATGAAATGTTTTCTCTGTTATATTGAGAAAATATTTTTTTTTCCTATTTTAATACCGTTTGGGGACTCAGTGAATATTCTGATGTTTAATGAGAGGAAGGTTATTTCACTTTATAAATATGTTAAGTCATGCCCACTCACTTAAAATCTGTGTCCATTATTACTATCAGTGTAAATAGACTAAGTATATTCTCATTGCATTATCTTCTCAGAAAGTCAGATATGTTGCACAGTATTGTTTCTAAACTAAATTGGGATTGCAGCTAATGCCCTATCCTCTAAATTTGACTGTTCTGCTCATACCCTGTTGTTGTCCAGGAATGTTGACATGGCATTGACAGAGACAATGTTTACAATATTGGTTTTCAATCACATAGTTTTTTAATATTTATTTTTTAGTTGTAGTTGGACACAATACCTTTATTTCACTTATTTATTTTTATGTGGTGTGGAGGATCAAATCCAGAGTCCCACACTTTTGAGGCTAGCGTTCTACCACTGAGCCCAACCCCAGCCCCTATTCCACATAGTTTTTAGCATAGATTATATGTGTGTGTGTGTATTTTTTCTCCTTCAACATCCCTGGTAGATAACAAAGCAATGTTGTGTTGTTACTTTCACATATGTAATATTACATGATCAATCTTGCCATTTTTCAAATATGTGGTAGCCATAATTAATGACAAGTTTCTTTTATAGTCTAGTTTTCTGTTATAATCTAGTTTTCTGTTTCTCATTTTTTTAATTGGTTAAATAGTTTCTAGAGTAAACACAGTTTAAGGATTTGGAAGGTATGTAAGTACTGATTAGAAAAGTCTTCAAGATGAGTGAATACTTTGTAAGCTAATGCTTAAAAGAGAAGTCCATTTGCATACATTTAAAATATCTATGTCTACATATGTATACATCTTATACATAAAATATCTGAAAGGATACATGCACTGTGATTTATAATCTGTGGAAAATGGGATTAAGAAGGGATTTCTTTTTACTGTAATTCTGTAGGATTTTTTTCTGTTACCACATATTTATGTGTTTAATTAAAAATATAGCACTGGAGGAATATGTCATTCATTTAATAAAGGAGTTCTTAGAAGTAAATAGAGCTGTGTATGAATTGATTTTTATTAAATAAATAGATATCTTAAATATGTTGCATCAAAGGTGATCAGTCACTGAATGCAAAAGATAATAATTTGAAATGGGAAGATTCTACAGGGAAAGCTACAAATTTTTCTCATCAAATTCTAACAACAAACTAGCAACCTTTGCTGTCTCCTAAGTACCATTTAATATTATTATAGCTCCCACTACACAGGCTTCTTGAGATATGTTTTCATCTTGCTACTAGAAAGCAGCAGCCTTGTATTTTTCTTTTGCCCTTAGAAATGTGTTTCCTTATTTCTCAAACATAGGCAAATGTTTATACTTTTAGTATTTTTTTCTACCCTCTATGTCAGTGGGCCTTACTATTTAAGTTAATTATTTATTCATATCATCTACTTTTGCATTAATCAGAGTCCTTTTGTTAAATAATAGAAACCGACTCTGGCAAACCTATGCACAAACAGAAAGCACCAAAGATTACAGAGTTGGATGCAGCATGAGGGTGAAGTATAGTACATTAGGTCATAGCAA